TCTTCTCAGGCTCTAGAACCTCTCGGGGATTGAGCCCCCCATCTTTGGGGAAGGGATAGCTTTACTCTTCTTTCTAATGCAGCGGTTCTCAACCTGTGGGTCTCAAACCCTGGGGTGGGGATGGGGGTGTCGAACAACCCTTTCACAGGGGTTGCCCGATTCAGAACAGTAGAAAAATGACAGTGATAAGTAGCAATGAAAATAATTTATGGTTGGAGGAACGGTATTAAAAGGTTGAGAACCACTATTCTAGTGCCTCCTATATGGTGATGGCGTCTTCCTCTTGTTACTTTTCCTAGGCCCACATGGCTTTTCTTTTTCTTGTTTTCCATGGCTTGTAAGTTTCCAGGGGAGTCTCTTTCTTTAGGCCTCTTCGTGTCTCAAAAGGTTGCAGTGTTTAGTCTTCACTTTTCCTTCCCACCCTTTCTACTCTGCTCAGGCCTCTTCTAGAGCTTTGTCATTTGGTTGCTTTTTAAGAGACCTCGGAGGAAGCATTTAGACTCGGAGGGCGTCATTCAGGGTACATGAAGATGAAAGCCCCGTGTTGCCTGCCAGCCTAAGGATCGCTATGGAATACTTGTGTATCTCAAAGACCTATGTGTTTAAAATACTCTGTAATAATAGGCCATGAGTTCTGTAACATTTAAAATGCTTTTCCGACAATGCAAGTATTTTTTTTCCTTTAAAATTTTTTATTAAGGTGAAATTCACATACTAGAACATTAATTATCTTAAAGTGAGTGGTTTACTGGCCTTCATTCATTCATAGTGTTGTGCAGCCACCGCCATCAAACACCAAAACATTTTCATCACTTCAGAAGAAAGCCTAACCCATTGAGTAGTTGCTTCCATTCCCCAACACCACCATCAATCTCCTTTTTCAATAGAATTTTTTGTTTTGGTCATCTCATAGACTGTAATGTGCTATAGATAGATAGTTTTTGATAACCGGCGTGCTGGTGGTGCTGTCAGGTGGGGATGAGACTGCTAACCCTTACGTGATTGGGGGTTCAGACCTACCAGCTGTTCCCAGGGAGAAGAGGTTGCTTGCTCCCATAACAACTTAAAGCCTCGGAAACACTCTACAGGGTTACTGTTAGTCAGAACCAGCTAGATGGCAGCCAGTCAGTCACTTCACTTAGCATAACGCTTTCAGGCTCATTCCTTTTGTAGCAGGTGTCGATACTTCCTTCTTACAACTGAGCAATATTCCATTGCATGATACCGCATTTTGATTATCCGTTGAGCGGATGATAGACATGAGAACGTGCTTATACATGGATTTGTGTACCTGTTTGCAGTTCTTTGAGTTTATAATGAGAAGACTTTAAAAAATGCTTGGAAAATGGGATTGGAAGATAATGGAATTTTTCTTTGAACTTTTGGAACCCGCTTAGGTAGGAGTGGAAGTGCTGGTTACATGGTGAGTCTACATGTGTTTCTTTAAGGAACCACCAAACTGCTCAACCATACTCTATTCCTACAAGTAACAAACGTATGGCTTCTGTTTCTCTATGTTTATGTATCTTTATATCCTCACGATCATTTATTTTTCCCTTTTTAAATACCATACTGTGAGGTGTGAAGTGGTGTCTGACCATCTTTTCTTGTGCATATTGGTCCCTTGTAAAGGAAAAAATGTCAATTCAAGTCCTTTGTCCAATTTTAAGTTATCTTGTTATTGAGTTGTAATTGGTCTTTATATTCTAGGCACTGAATGAATGCCTTAGAGCATCCCCGGAGGAGCTAGAGCCCCTGTCTGGCCTTGGGTAGCTCTCCTCAGGCTCTGTGGGGGGTGGAGTGCAGGCTGACCCGGAGGAGGGGGCAGAGATGCAACCCATGTTGGTGGAAGTAACTCCCGTGTAGCTCTGGAAGTAACTCCTGTGTTGGTCTGGGAGTAACTCCCGTGTAGCTCTGGGAAATGTGAATGCCTCACTCCAAAACTGTCGAGGGAATCTGACCTCCTGTTTTCTGCTTCCATTCCCTTATAGCCTTGTGATTCACACAGGTAGGTTTGACTAGGAGCAGTACTGTTTCAGTGTTGGAAAGGTTAAACCACTTTCTGGAGCGAGCTGCTTGTATTGTTGCTTTTGTTAGTAAAAGCTCCAGGATGGGTTCTTGGTGTTATTTCCCTAATACAGTAGAAGCCCTTGTTCGGAAGAAAAGGTAGGCACAACCCTGATTTCTAGTTTGCTCTCCACAGTTTGGCTGGGATCGCTCACTTCAGAAAAGGAAAAGACTCCCCCCAGTGAAGAGGTCCTTAGTGTACTACCTGAAGGGCCGAGAAGTCAAGCTACAGAGCGAAGCCAGCTACTCCCGAGTGTTGCATG